GGGAGGTGACAGGCGTGGGAGATGTTACCCGAGGGGGCTGGTGGTTTATGGACAGGCTCACTCCTGAGTCCGTATCTCAGTTTGCTTCATTGCTCGGATCTAAATGGCCGAGGGGAAAATTTAAGTTTAAAAATGAATATTTCACAATTAGATATGTTTATTATGATATTGCTACGGTAGGCTAGAAGCTGTCTTACAGCCCCTTCTACTAACCTGTCACTTCACAGGATGTTTTCCTGTCTCAGGAACTGCTGAGAAACACCCAAAAGTCCTTTTCCAGTTTCTTAATACCACTTCTAAAAGTCGACCGTATGTAGAATTGCAGAGCTTTTGACTTGACCAAAGTGAGTGTAATTTCTCTTAAATAATTTCTTTATTCAAGCAGGCAGCTAACACTATAAAAATGCAGAATTAACTAATTGTCATTTTAAATGGTTTGTGATCTTTGCGTGCAACGCTACGTTATCCTGGTCTTGGCTGTTAATGAGCCAGAGCTCTGCAGCAGTGAATCACTCGGGTTTGGTATCCACCTGGTTTACTATAAACAGGGTTTAAGTTCCAGCTCTCCCCCTGTTAGACTCGATCTTGAAAACTAACCCGACGTCAGATCTAGGTTCTTCATTCAGTGCTTTAAGGTTGTTACCAAACGAGTTTGTTCAAGCGGCTTGGGGCTTGTTTTGTTGGTCGGGTTTTTAAAAAGCACGCCTTGCCGCTTTTTTTCTTGGGGGTCTGATGAAACATGGCTGTAATGATGATGGCTTGGGGGTTGTTTTTTTTTTAAGTTAACGTTGACTAGGTTGGTAACTGGGGGTGGGGGGGTGTTCCCACTCTGGCAGTGCAATGCCGTGCTGCTGGACACGGAGAGAGGTTCTGCCAGTGGTTTGAACAGCGAGAGCTTTGGGCCTGCTACTGGAGAATCAATCTGAGATTTTTATTTCCCTGAAAGTTAATTTATGAGGTTTGTGAAACCAGGTTGTCTGTCTTATAACTGAGTGCTCAGCTTTGCTCTCCTCCTCCTGGGATCAAACCTGCCCAGCCTTCATACTGAATTGTGGATTAACTCCCTTGACCCTGCAGAAGAAATACTATTGGGAGAAGCTGTGGAAAAACGCTTATGACTTTCCTTAAAACTGCTTCTTGTTGTCTTGGTAACAATAAATTTATGGGGTGACTTAAGCAGCTACTGCATGAACAGAAGATACAAACCGTTGAACGGAATTCAAAAGCATTAAAAGATCGAGAACCTTCCAGCAAACAAGTGCATTTTGTTTGGCGTTTTCTTAACTCCTTGTTATTCTCCTTGATCCTTGAGGTGGTAAAAAAAAATTAAAGGCACTGAGATACTGTGGTGGAATTTACCACTTAAAAACTAAACTGAAGTAGAACGTGAAAAATAGCTCTTAAGTGTAATTTTCTCCAAGTGTGGAAAAAAATCTGTATAAACACTTTTAAGCTTTGTAGATTTACAATTATATTAGCCTTTTATTCAACTATTTATTTCAGAAACAAACCTCCAATTTGTTGTAAATTCCTCCTAAGTTTCTATATCTGGCGGACAGCAGCGTTTGACACTGCCTGCCGTGAGAAGGACTCATGCAGAAGCCCCCGGCGTTGGAACCCCTTGAGCGCAGCGGACAGCGTGCCAGTTTATTACGTTGCCGTTGCTCAGCGTTGAAGGCAGCAGAGTTTGAGTAACGCGGGTCGCATCCTGGCAAACCAGGATGGGTGGAATCTCCTGCCTGGTCTGTCCTGACAGCACTAATTACAAAAAAAAAAAAAAAAACCAAAAAAAATTTCTAAAATGCAAACTAGTGATGGATTGTGGATGTGTATGTCCAGGTCTGGTAGATTTATAGGATTATTTAACACTCCAAAATGCTTTGCTGTTTACCTCCAAGCTTCACCTGTCTCTTTTTCGCCGTGCTCTCGGAGCAGGGATGGCTGTGTGGATTCAGGGCTCGTCTGGGGGCCAGCTTGTGGCCAGTTTCCAGCGTCTTACCTAATTCTAGGCAAAATGATGAAAGACTCGGGTAATTACACTTAGCGTATAGGTGCATTTTGTGGCCTTGAGCCACAAGAAAAGCCTAGAGCTTTTACTCTTGAAAGGAATTCCTAGTCTGTCGGGTTGAGCTGTATTTTCTCGACCTTTCCTTTTCCTTAAGGTCAGCTGTATACATTCAAATTACTTTTCAAAGTACTTCATGCTGTGATACAGCGACTGGCCGTGGGTACCACCTTGGCTTGCTGTGTTTTGCCTCTGTGCTCAGCAAGCAGTAAATAAGAACCAAGACATTTGATTTTGAATTTATCAGATCATTTTAGCTGCACTGGTGACTTGTACCCTGAATTTCAGTGTGTGAGGTTTATTTGTCCTTCTGCTGTTTCTCCTTTCAAGAAGAAACCACTGGCCCACCCTGTCACACACTTGCTTCCTTGGAAATGCCTATCTTAACTGTTTAAAATAAATATTTAGAGTACTTAAACCGAATCTGTTGCTCTCCCAGTTCTTGTAGCCCACGGTTGGGATGTGCAGCAGGACAGCTTTCTGGTTTACTTCTAGTTTGGCTGCAGATTTTCATGGAGCAAAGAGATTGCTGCTAGTTGGTCATCAGATTTCCTTTCCCACTTTTAAAAAGTATATCCTTGATCCTTGAGGCCCTGTGTGAATTCACTTTTTCTTCCAGAAAGCAATTTATGAAACGACTTGGATATAGTGCCAAAAAATCCCATTGGGCAATAACATTGCTCCAAATCCCGTATTAGCGTTGCCAGATTTATTTTTTTTTTTTTTATTGCGGTGGAGCAAATTTTTGAATAATCATTAAGACGTTTGCACAGAATTTATTTTTAACCCCCACAGCAGCGGCCTGTGTGAAACCACGAGGAGTCAGACGATTGCAACTATTAAACATCTGTCTCTGCATCAGTTTTGTAAGGCCTGATCGTTGCTGGGTGATTTCTTGAAGCTGTGATGTGGTAATTTTATAGTCGGTGAGCTTGATATATGATGACAAAAAGAGTAACGATCCTGTGCTTTTAATTCTTAAGGAGCGGGGGCGGCGGGGGCTGTCTCAGCTATAGACAAAAGAGAATCGCTGAAGTGGATGCAGTCTTAAAAAAAAAAAAAATAAAAAAATTAAAAAAGAATTCACCTGGACAGGACAGGGAAATGGTTGTTCTGCACCGCTGTGTTGCCAGGCAGGCTTGCCTTCCCACAGGCTTCTCCCTTGGAGGTCTGGCAGTGCATCTCTATGAAGCGTGGTTTCAAAAGCGTTATCAGTGGTACTTTTGCTGTGCTGTACAGACATGGTGCTCCGGATTTCCTTCTTGGTTTCTTCCCTGTGCTTAGAGTTTAAAAAACCGTATATTTCCCTATTCAAACTTTTCGCTTTCCGTCTTTTCCTTTTGCCGGTGCCTGGATTCATATCATTCTCTTTAGCTTCTCATTTATGCTTCACATAATTGTTTGCTTTGCCAGTTCTTTGGGTTACCGGTTCTACTAAATAAACTGGCCAGATAGTCAAGGCAGGGAGATTTGCAACCTTGAGAAAATAACAACAAAAAAGCCCAAATGCCTCATCTGAAAAGAATGCTTAGGGCAAAAATGACTGGTGTAGTAAATCACTCTTGTCAGCAAAGCCTGGGCGATGGCAGCGTAGGCTACGCTCCTGCACGTGTGTGTTTCCAGGTTTTTCTGCTCTCTTCCGAAGCGCTACCATTTCCTAGCCATTATTCTTTTCCTACCTTCCCCTCCCTGCAACCATTCCAAATTGCTCCCTCTAATCCAGTGGCATTAATTGCGCAATCTGAGATGAGGTAGGTGTGTCGCTGGCAGCTATCTAAAGAAAACAGACTCGCTTGCGTAGACATCTCTGACTTTTGTAAATGCCGAATGACGTCTCAGGACTGGTGTTACAACTGCAGTCGTGAGAGAGGCGATATTCAGAAACTCAAGATGGCAGAAAAGAAATTACAAAATTCTCTTTCCGTCTTATTTTGTAGTCATATAGCAGGGAATGCTCCCCACAGTGTATTTCTTCACACTTGAAGCATGCTTTACTGGAAAGGACTTAAGTCGTGAATTCGGAGGGTAGCTATATATTATGGTGCAGTTGGGCAAAGCTGTGCATTTAGGAAATGAAAACAATTACTTTTTCTTAAATAAATAAATAACATTGTTCTTTGCCTTCCAGTTTGCAGAAGCATGGACATTCGCAACAATCTGACCCGGCTGAACATGCTTGAGAACTGCACTGTGATTGAGGGCCACTTGCAAATATTGCTGATGTTTAAAACCAAGCCTGAAGATTTCCGTGAGCTCAGCTTTCCTAAACTGACTATGATTACAGACTACTTGCTTCTTTTTCGCGTCTATGGCCTGGAGAGTTTAAAGGGACTTTTCCCCAACCTCACTGTGATTCGAGGAACTCATCTGTTTTTTAACTACGCACTAGTCATTTTTGAGATGGTTCACCTGAAAGAGATCGGCCTCTATAACCTGATGAACATCACTCGAGGCGCTGTGCGGATTGAGAAGAACAACGAATTATGTTACTTGTCCACCATCGACTGGTCAAGGATTTTGGATTCTGTAGAAGATAATTACATCGTGGCCAACAAGGATGACAAAGAAGAGTGTGGAGATGTGTGTCCAGGAACTGTGAAAGGGAAGAGCAACTGTCCGCCTACGGTGATAAATGGCATTTTCATTGAACGGTGCTGGACCCACGATCGCTGTCAGAGAGGTAAGTTTGCAGAGAGGTTTCGCTGTCAAATTTTTAACCTGTCAGATCTGTTAGAGGGCTAAAAGGTACCTCTTAATTGTTACCTTTAAGGTTCCTAAATGCAAGGCTCAAAATTGATGTTAGGTGAAGAGAGGACTCTTTGGGATGGGGCTGTGTGAGCAGTTCTTTCACCTGTGTGAATAATGGATACAAAAATGTTGTGTTTGCTTTCTCTGGAAAGTTAAGGACTGCCTAGAGCTCACAAGTTTAATGGACTGTGAGTGTAACTGGTATCTTGTATAATCGTTAGAGGTATTAGTATCTGTGGGGCTTGGGTAGGGGATTAAACGTCCAGATTGACTGAAAGGCTGCAGCAGGCGGAAACAGAACGGCAGGGAAAAGTCTTTATGGAATAAACCCGACTCTAGAAAGGTGCAATTACATTTTTACTTAACCCTTCCTGCCATAAAGAGGTGTGAGATGTGTGGATGAGCGAGCAACATTTGCACAGAGTAAGAAGCTGGAGGCCAAGGCAGATCTGAAAGGGAAAGGAGAAGGAAGAGAGAGGACCTGGATGGGGGTCGCCCATAGCAGGAGTCTTGGGGAGGGTGAAGTAACTGGGCTTTGGCCCGGGCTTTTGGTTCAGGGCAAAAGGTATATTCATAAAGTTAAGCTGCTGGTGCAACCCCTGAACTCCAGGTTTTAAACTGCATTGGGGTTGCTTTTAACTTCATACTGATTTGTTTTTTCCAAACTTGGAACTGAACTTAAGTTTAGTCTTAATTATATATTTCCTTTGATTTATGTTAAATCTGACTTGACGGGGAGCAAAGTGAATTGAGGTAAAACTGACACATTTAGAGCTGTCTGTCTTTCTGGAGGTAGAGCATCCAAACGAAGCAGTGTGTCCTAAGACGAAATTAGGAAACTTGCGGGCTGGAGAGAATTTCTTGCCAAGCTTTAAAGGGCAACTCTGAGTGCTAAGTGCCAAATTTGAGAAGGAATTCCTACCAGCATGCATAAACTAATGAAATTAATGTGGTTTCCCCTCTGCTACTCCTCACCCCCAAATCGCCTAGCTTCCTTTTAAAGGAAGTGGTTATTTCTTGTCGCCAGAATAGCAGGGTATGAGCAAGAAGATGCAAGCGTGCGTGTGTGTTTCTTTTTAAAAATGAAAAATAAGGTTATAAGGCATTTTAGTCTGTAAACTTTTTTGGTATACAGCTATCAGCAGCGCTGAAACCTGGTTTCTTATGCATTTGTTGTATGTTTTCTGCTATTTCGTATGGTTAAAGATCTAACTGAAACTTTTTCTGTGGCTAGACCATTCATAATGTCCCTCATTCCTGTGAATTTTCTGGGGCTGTGCTGCAGCAGACTGGAATGTATGGTTTCTCTCCTTTAGATGACTGCCTATTTCCATGAAACCTGTAGGAATGTAATATTTTACCATTGGGACAGAAATCTTGGCTCCTGAGCCTCTCATACAAATTCGGCTATGTTTGCTGGAGGATACCCGCACGGTATCACCCACTATCTTAGCTTAGTTACCCAAGGAAACCAAGCTAGTAAGTCCCTTTGACTGGAATTTGAAATTAAAATTTGAATTTGAAAATAATTTCAAAAGTAATTATATACAGATGCTCCCGTCTGGTTTTCTGTGTTCCTTGTAGAAGATTTGGAGAAGCGATGCTCCCACGCCTTTCGGCTGGAACTGGTATGCGTTTTCAAAACCACTCAACAAGCCACGCTTATCTTTGTTTTGAACGCTGTGATTTGTACTTCTATTTAGTGGTAGCTGGTGTTCTCAGCAAGCTGCTATCCATGTTCTGTTGTGCCTCGGGACACCTGCCTCTATGTTCCCAAGTTATTTTAACAGCTTGAATCGTCTTTTCAACTTCTTAGACTTTTCATAGAATCATCGAATGTTTTGGGTTGGAAGGGACCCCTAGAGGTCACCCAGCCCAACCCCCCTGCAGGGAGCAGGGACACCTTGAACCACATCAGGTTGCTCACAGCCCCCTCCAACCTGGCCTTGGATGTTCCCAGGGATGGGGCCTCCACCCCCTCTCTGGGCAACCTGTTCCAGTGTTTCACCACCCTCAGTGTAAAGAATTTCTTCCTTGGATCCAGTCTGGGTAGCCTTTAGACTTTCAACACACGTGCACGCTAGGAACTATGGCAGAGATTAAGTGACATTTATTTTATGAATCTGTCGGGGGAATTGCTGTGTCCTCTGTCCTGGTGCCAGCCACAAGGTATCCTTAGCGCGGGTAATTGTTTTGTCAAGATTATTACAAGCTTGCGTGAATTGTGCCTCGGCTTTCCTTAGCCCAAAGAGCCTCGTGGCATCTCCCAGTACCCAGGGTATT